GTTATGTTGAAATTCATATTTTAAAGTATTTTTGGGCAGTGTCTCAGAAACGACAAACATGAATATTTTGAAAATATTCGTAATACCTTGTTATCAATTTGTCCTAAAACTTAAGTAAAAAGAGAAAATAGAAACGCTGCTACAGAAATTTATAGACAAAATTGCACAATATTCATTTAAAAAACTATAAAATTTGTGACCTATGTTCATTAAATATTTTTTTACAAGCAAAATCACTTTAGTAGTGCAATTGTATGTGGTCTATCGTAGAAAATTTTTCTCTTACTCGGACTCCTAATAACATAAAAGCATTTTGAAAATGAATTGAATTGAAAAACAGATTTTAAAAGTCAAAATTTCCAGAAAAAAAGATGTCGATTTTTTGTGCATTGTAGCTGTTCCAACATGAACTACAAAAGCGGCAGTGATTTGCCCTAAGTGATCTAAGATAAAATCGCGCTACATTGATTTAAAAAGGAACTCTATTTCTGATTAGCAAATTGACTTTTTTTGGTAATAACAAAAATTATAAAAATTACTCAAATCTATATGTAAAATATGCAATAACACTTAATACCATGTAATGGATATAACAAATCGCCTGTGATATGCCTGCAAATGTCACGTAACGCGAGACTATTTTCGTCTCAATTTAAATTTCGGTCCCTTACCCTCCCTGTCAACATTCCATCCATAGTATACTGTCAAATCGATGAGTTTAACAATTTATTACACGTTGGTACCATCAAAATGTTACAAAATGCTAAGAACTTATTCAAATTTATAGTATGCAAATATGGTGTTTGTTTATAGTTTTTGTCACAGGTGTCCTGGTAAAATTGTATTTATCAGAGCTTTCAATAAACAATATGTAACCGGAAAACTTCCCAGTGTTAATACAACATCTGAACGAGCTCATCGTCAAAGTTTAGAAGATGTACGATGTACAGCGAGTACAACACTTCAAGTGGAAAATTACTTACACTACTTAAATTTTTTACAAAATGAATTACAAATACTACTAGAGGATGTTTCTATAAACTTGAATCCGAATGTACTATCAGCACGATGGAGCTCCTACACATTTTGCTCATCCAGTCAGGCTACATTTGATCAAGATGTTTCCAGAGCGTTGGATTGGCCATGGTGGTCCTATTAGCTAGCCTCCAAGATCTCTAGACCTCACAGCACTAGATTATTATTTATGGGGCTGGTTCAAAAATGAACCGTACAAAGTTAGAGTGAACACTCGGGAAGCACTAATTCGAATGTATCATCAATACTGCAGCATTAATTAAAGAAAGACATGCAGCAATCAGGAGAGCTACAGCCGTCCTTGGTGGTGTTTTTGAACATTTAATAAAAGATGATTAATAGAATGTCAATTAAATAATTTTTTTTGTTGAAATGTATGTCATATCCTGACCACCCTTCTTTCGGTCCAGCCTTGATTAAAATTGGAACTAACTACAGGATCTGTACTTGTTTCATATTTTATTAAAATTTACATGCTTTGGGATACAACATAATTCTTTCATATTTTTTCAATCATTTACATATGTAAATTACATATTTTCAGTATTCACAGCCTAATTTGTTATGTCAAATACATTTTAAAGCATTTTACTGTCATTTGAACTAAATCAGAAAAATCAATCAGTATGTATAACTATTTTTGACGAATAGAATATGGTCTAAACAACAGATAATAGGAAATATATATTAAATAGTTGCATATAGTTTAATTATATTTATTTAATAATAAAACGTACGCGATTATTTATTGATATTTATAAATTGGCCAGAAATTCGAAAATTGGGAATAGGTATTGTCTAATGCATCTCAAAATATTCCTTATTGCGAAATTTTTAGCAGATTTTCTAGTGGCCTTACAGTTTTGTGTGTAATCTTTCCAGTAGAAAAGTAGGAATTTACTTTAATATACCGGTAGTGAAAAATTTTTGTGAGGAACAATTATTAGTCTAGGTGCCAGATAGGGTTCCGTGGCCAATCAGAGTGCCATGGCTGCCAACAACTTATTCACAAGTATTTTGACCTCCTGAATCCAAAAAACTTGGTCGCAAAACCTAAAAGTGGTCAGTTTAATTGTTATTAACAAATTAAATGTTTAAATTACTGTAAAAAGTTTATTTTTATAGTTAGTACAATTTTTTGTGTGTTAATAGTTACGTTTACTCATAACAAACATCCTTTTTTTTGAAAATTAAAAAAATATTAACTTTAACCAAATTTATTGCAAATTTAGTGCAAGTATCTTACATGTTCCGTCTCCGAGTGCATCAATTTTACCATATCTCTGATTCTATTGGATGGGTTGAGACGCACAATATCTCATTTTAAAGCTTGAACCTTATTTTACAAGATAGGTAAATTCCATTAATTAATTAATTTATTTAACAATTACTGGCAGCTTAGAATGTTCTGAAATTTCAACGAAAATGCATGTTTTATTTGTTTATAAGGCTTTTTTATTATGCAACTTCAATGAAAAGTCAAAAAAGTAACGAGATATTGTTCCTCGCATCCTAACAATTATTTCATGCCTTATAGTTATTAGTTGTTCTTTATCAAAACCCGTGAAGAGACGCGCGTACGTCGACAGCGATGTACGCGCGCTCGTTCGAAAGCTCAGAGTGCAAGTGCTCTATATACTTATATGTTTTTGATATTAATCTATTTATTTAACAGGAATTACAAACACCATTCAGCTTTGCAAGGAGATCTTACAAACTATTCGATCAATTTTGAATAAGGTAAAATGTAGTTCATTGTAAATTTCATGGTCAAGGCATCAATAAAATTAATCATATAACCGTTACTTTAAATATTTAAAAATGTGATGTTTCATTTTATAGATTATTCACAAACCATTATCGAAGCAAATAGTAAAATGGTAGAAGAATATTTAGTTAAGGTCGTAAAGAAAGGTACAACCTGTAGGAAGTTTGATGACATACGAGTATGGTTTTATCGCCGTTCAAAATACGCTTTAATAGAAGAGCTGCCTCCTACAAATGCATCACTATTGCACATGCAAAGTCTGCTCTAGAAGATCATGTGTTTGTGTGGCTGCAGAAATTAAATGTTGCTCATTTTGCTATTGCCAAAGGCAAAGCACCTGCAAAAATGTCAATAATGACCTCATTATTAAAAAAGAAATAAATTAATTAAAATCTTTAAACAATTGTTGTTATTATTTATGTAAATCTTATAAATATCAGTAATTAAGTCAATTGTTAATGCTTTTTTATTATTTAGTCTTTGTGACTTGAGCTTTCGATCGAGTGCGCGTCTCTTCATGGGTTTTGATAAAGAAAAACTAATAAATAAGGCATGAAATGATTGCTAGGATGCGAGGAACAATATCCGTTAACTTTTTTTGGCATTTCATCGAAGTTGAATAACAAAAAAAGCCTTATAAACAAATAAAACCAACATTTTCGTTAAAATTTCACAACTTTCTAAGCTGCCACTTATTGTTAAATAAATAAATTAATAAATGGAACTTACCTATCTTGTAAAATAAAGTTTAATCTGTAAAATGAGATGTCGTGCGTCTCAATCCGTCCAATAAATATGGTAAAATTGGTACGCGCGGAGACGGACAATGTAAGATATTTGCACTAAATTTGCAATAACTGGTTACAGTTAACATTTTTTAATTTTCAAAAAAATATATGTTTGATATAAGCAGACGTAACTATTAACACATAACAAATTGTACTAGTTATAAAAATAAACTTTTTGTAGTAATTTAAAAATTTATTTTGTTAATAACAATGAAACTGACCACTTTCAGGTTTTGCGACCAAGTTTTTTGGATTCAGGAGACAAAATACTTTAGAATAAGTTGTTTGCAGCCGTGGCACTCTGATTGGTCACGGAACCCCATCTGGCTCCTAGACTATATGTGTGTATGATTATAATAGTATGTTACGTAATAAGTGTTGTAAAAAGCATTTTACGCACGAATGGAAAAGTTACGCACGACGCCGCGTAGCGGCGAGTGCGTAATTCTATGAGTGCGTAATTGCATTACACCACGTATTACGTACTATACTTTACCTACGACCACTACTTTAAATACTTAAAAACACACCGTCTGCGATAAATGCAAGATTCCTATTACGTCGTACGGTAAAAAAAACGCACAGCTTGGTAAAAAAATTGTACAGTTTTCCTAGCAACCGCCTAGCAACGGTCAATACAAACAGTATTGTATTGGCTGTTGCTAGGCAATTGCTAGGAAAACTGTGCAATTTTTTTACCGTACGTAATAGGAATCTTGCATTGATCGCAGACGGTGTGTTTTTAAGTATTTACAGAACGTTATACTAGTTACTCTCTAGTTGCGCTAAATTTAGTAATTAATTTAATCAAAGGGATTTTTTTATTTAATAAGCCAGCTAGTACATATAAGTTGGTTAATTTCAGAAGTTTTGTGTAGTACAATTGCTGTTAAAATTCTTAATTAGTAAATATTTTCTTCCCAGTTCTTAGTCGCCACACTTTTCTCTATGCTTGCTCTATTTTCTATTACAATTCCTTTTTTATGTATGAATAAAAACAGTAGTTTGTGTACCAGAATGAATATCCATATCTAAAGTGGTTCTAGATGTAAAACAAAAATTTTATTAACGTTTATAATAATAATAAAATAATATGCTGTATTAACCCATATTTATTTTAACTTTACTATTACGTTATTTTTCTCCAAAATGAATCATGTAATGATATTGTACAGTAAATAAAAATGAAACATGAGAAATTTGAAGGATTTGGAAGATTTTAGAAATTCCATTCTGTGCAGGAAAGCATGTCATGCATAAGCAGACCATACATTATGTATAATGAACTTTTGTTCTAAAACTACATTTTTATAACTTGAGAAAGGAAAATTTTTTTAATAAATTTTGTGTATCTTTAGATATTCAACTCAAAAACAATGTTACAGTAATTGAAAAACATTTTTTTTCAGGTGGCAGACAAATTGTTAGTTGCTGGAACAGAAAGTGGCAAAATTATATTTTGTTGCTTAGAAACTGGACACTATAGTAAAATATTACATATTTGCCATGTACCAATTACATCTCTGTTATTTTGGAAACATAGCCATAACACTACATATATGTATGTTGGATCTTTCGATACCACTTTAAAAGTATATAGTTTACACAATTATTCTAACATCGAAACTGTTCCACTTGATGACAGAATTCAGTGCATGGAGTGCAGTTGGGGTTATATTTTTATTGGATGTATTGGAGGCTCTTTACTTAGATACACACTGAAGGTAATATCTTTTAATTTTTATTGTAAATGTATACGAGTGTAATAATGATGTTACGAAAATGGAAATGTCAGAATATTTAACATTTTTTCTTGAAATGATTGAACAAATTTTTCTGTTCTTTAAACCAGAATTCTAGGTATGCAAAAGATATATTATCTTGTCACCCATATTACAATACTTAACAAAGTGCTAGTAGTTATTGATTTTGTAGGTTGACTGTAATTTCAGTTTGATCTTTAAAACATTGTACCTGCCAATTCTTCAAGAGTGTTTATTACGATAAGATATACCACATGTTATTTAATTTTTCGATATAGATACACACACATACGGCGAATTAGAGTTATTTACAACGTACCTAATTTTATTGAAATAATTCGTAAAAACAGTCAAATACAATAAAAAATTCTGGAGATAAAAGTAACAAAGTTAATGTTATTAAATCTAGTACAACTTATTATAACCGTTCAAAATGACCAAAGAAGAAAGTTAAAGGAGACCGTTTGCAGTTCTTGAGGGCAATTGTTTAAAACATTTATGGCATTGGGATATGCCTCCACAACTCTTTATCTGTGTTAGATGTGGAAGCATACACTTATTTTCAGAGTGCCCTAAAGATAATAGTCACAAGGTGTTAAGTCTGGTGAATGTTCTGGCCAGTTAACAGGAACATTATCCCCGCTATCGATCCATCGTCGAGAGAATCTTTGGTTCAGATACTGCCTGACCTTTACAGTGAAATGTGGTGAAGAGCCGTCATGCATAAACCACATATTAGCTCTGAGTAATAATGGCACATCTTCCAATAACTCGAGTTTTACAAAAATTCTAAATAAAATTCCCCATTCAGTCTAGTGGGTAGAATAACAGGGCCAATAATAATGCTATCAATGATCCCAAACAAAACATTGATGTGAAATTCATACTGATAATGTTTCCTTTGACAACATGTGGATTTTCTTAAGCATACACATGTTAATTGTGAATATTTATTATTCCGCTTCTGGTGAAACAGAATTGGTAGGTACAATGACTTAAAAGATCAAACTGAAATTACAGTCAACCAGCAAAATCAGAGCCTACTAGCACTTTGTTAAGTACTGTAATATGTGTGGTAAGATAATGCATACATTTAAAAAATATTTTTTTGTACCCAAACCGCTCATTTCATCAAAATTATACAAGAGGCCCAAAAACTTCCAGATGGTATCACCTATCAAATAAAAAATAGTCATCATTATTGCCCAAAAGAGGAAAAAGTTATGAACGGATATTATCAACATACATCAATTTTGTAAGAGTTCTAAGTTTTAAAAAACACTCTGTATAGTACCAAAATATTAAGATTGAAAGCAAAAGTTCACACTCCAAAAATAATCAAAATCGAATAATACGTATTCGAGTTATTTACAAAATTCAAAAATTTTCATGAACTTTTCGGTCATCGTTCAAACGAAGCGATTTTTAATGTAGGTGAATTAACCTAAATCTCCCTATTTTGAGTCCACGAATCTGTGGTCTTCCTTCAGTGCTAGTGGTCGCAATCTGAACAGTTAGGAGTCTTTCTGTGAAGTTAGTATCTTTTTCATAAATCTGGTGTCAAAGATTTCATTTGATATTTTTTTCTGAATCCGTTTGAATTAGTTTAATATCTTTAAAATAGAGAAAAGAATGTATAAATAGAATATATATTTTTTGAAAAAGATTTTTAAGGCTACTATCATTCAGAGATTGGACGTTAAAGACAGAGTTTATGATCAATTACTCAAGAATCATTAAACATAAAGACTTTAAATTTGTTGCATTGCAGGTTGTCTCATAGTAACTACAAAATTTGAACAAAATCTTGTAACATCAGAATTGGGAGGAGTCAGAGTAGTTTAAGTTAAGTTCAACTTAAAAAAAAGTTACCTTCTTTGAGAAATTTGGTTTAAAATTAAAACATTTGTACATTTGGAGTTTTTTGAATAAATACAACATTCAACAGCAGCAGACTAATAAAAGCTAATTATGCTCTAATTTCTTTACAGTTATAGGTGCATAATTATGAAAAATTTGAACTTTGCTTGAATCTATATCATTCGCCCACTAAACATGAAAACATAGCATCATTAATGAGACTGCCAAGTTACTTTGTACTGTTGATTTGTGATATAATTTACATTCTATTTAATACTATGTAACAAATTATGTCCACCTCCTCAACATTAAGCTTGGTACAAAAGTGATAACATTACTGTAACATCTGTGTTACGTTTTCTATTAAGTTATTTTAATACAACTATAACTCCACGGTCGAAATTATAGAGAGTGGTTCATCGCTAGTTTTTGGACTAGTAAGGGGGATGAAGCGTGCCGGGAACGAAAATCCATTGGCGTGTCTGCGTAAAAGGCAACAAGATATAGAAAATAATGAAAAAA